TTGTGCCTCTGTAGCAAGGTCGTCTGTAGGCGATCTGTAGTTGATGTGTTCCTGCGTCACTAGGTTGAAGACGACGTGCGCTCTTCCCAGCCTTTTATTTTTATCGGTCATTCATCTTATCACGTTAGTCTTTATCAGACTTCTTATTCTATTATATATTGATATTAAACATTAATATTAATACTTCGTACCCACTCAGTAGCATATCCACTACAGTTTTACATAGTTTAATTTTAATATAATATATGTATATTTTCGTACACACTATACAACATGCATAGATACATACTACAATATATATTAGCAATGAATATAACTTGTATATTAATAAATTAGATATATAATAAATTAATAAATTGGGTATATTAATATTGAAATTAATAATTTGCATATTAATCAATTAGGTATACTAATATATTAATAAATTATTAGGCAATATACAATTGCATTCTTAATATATCATATATAACATGTAATTAAACTACAAATTAAATAGAATGTTGTATTGTTATGTATAAAATATAATTATGTATATTGTGCGACAAGTCGCCTAATTGTCGCCTAGGCGGGCGCGTTGTCGCCTAGGCGATATGGCGGTCGGCTGGCGCCGCGACTCGCCTTACCGCCGTGACAAGTATGTTTGCACCATAAGTATCTTGATTTTCATTCCTTTGTCACTCCCCATGATTAAAAATGGGGTATAAGTTTAAATTAGTGGGGTGCAAATTTTGATTTGGTTTTTGTTTTTCCCCACATATCACGTATAGTGGGGTAGGGGGGGGGTCGGATGTACACAGTCTTACCCCTATACTAAAACACAAAGAGACCGTTTTCGGATCACCCATAGTAACTTGGAAAATCATACAACCAAAAAATTTATAGGTTAAAATTTTACATGTTAAATCATACAACCAAATAACATCAAAACACACTAATTTTATCGGTTAAATTTTTAAGTATTTATTCAGTGATTAAGACATTCAGCCCCATTATGGTTATCAAAAAATGCTCATTCTAGTCCTCCAAGTACAGAGTATTATTTAATCCATTTAGGCTTTTGGCCTTCCCCTATAAAACACCTCATTTTAATTAGAATGCTTAAGAAAAACGTATTGTTTTATACATATTAAAGTTTTGTTTTGAATATAGGTTGGAATTCTATAAAATGTTTATAAAGAGTATTTTAGATATTTCGTAGCAAAAGAAAATAAATTTTTTTATGAGAAGGAATTAATGATGGAATAAAGCAAAATGACTCACTAAACTGTCCGCGCTTCTTTGTTATGAAGCAACAGTCAGTCCATGCAATTTTGGACGGGATTTTCACTATGGGTCATCCGGAAACAGTCTCTCTGTGCTTTAGTACAGGGGTAAGACTGCGTACATCTGACCCCTCCTTACCCCACCGTAGGTGGGAGCCTTTGCGGCACTGGGGTAAATGAAAATGAAATGATGAAATTAATGATTTGTCGAAGTCCAGACAAACAAGAGTGAAAAGTTTAAAGTTCATGAATTATTTGTAGAATTTGACGATTTATGTTTAGGACAACTAATGGATATAAATTCTGAAATTTGTTGTTATAGGGACAAATGATTTGGCGGCTATCCCTTGCCTGATGTCTAAGGGCAGACATAATCACCAATCAAGAGTTAGTCACAAGAGTCGGGCGGGTTAACCGGAATCAAGAGGCTTACCCTTCTAGTGTTTTACTTTTCAAAATTGAGGTGATGCAGCAACATATTTTTGTTGGCTGTTGCCATTGCTGTTAACTACGTCATATAGAATAATATATCAAATCAACTCGTTTAGAAGTTTGAAGGAACTTTAGGAAGCTGCTAAAAAACTATGCTGCCTAAGCTGGATTATTATAGGCCAAAGGGAGAGCGTGGAAAATGCCTAACAGGCCGTGTAGCCCTAAGTCCCTAACCCCTTTGGCGTGGAGAGTGGAAAATACATCTTGTTCATAGTTATCAATAATATAGTAATGTAAAAGAACTATGTAGGTTTTGATGTATTGTATACCCCACTTATATTCAAGTGCAAGCCCATTTTTAAATGTTTCAATTAAGTATTTTTAATTGTACTCAATTAAGTTGTTTATAATAAAAAATCAAATTTTGAGTGTTTTCATAATGGTATCATTTGCGATTTTTTTGAAGGATAACAGAAAAATTCGATTAGAAACTATGCTGAGTAGACCTGAGAACTGGGCAGTTGGATAGGAGCGGGAGCTTTACCGGGATAAACCAATCCCAGCTATGGGTACCTTAAGCAATTAAACCTAGGACAGGACTGGGAACTGGTAGGTCATGGAATGGTCCGCCCACCCCTACTTTTGTGCGGTATCGACTTGTTAGTGACTACGTAGTATTATATTGGTTTTCAATTGTATCTAAAATACTCTGAAGACCTGTAGCGAGTATTATTTGAACTGTGTTAATTTCAAGGATTTCTCAAATATGAGTAAAGCATGGCCATTTAAATAGAAGTATCAACATTCCAACTTCCAAGTGCTTATACGTCAAATAAATAATTGAGTTCATGATTTTGTGATCATTTATAACGTATAGTTCATGATGTTTATTACATGCACAACTCTTATATTTCTCCAAACTTGAGGATGTTTGAATTAGTTTCCCCCTAAAAAAATGTGTTAGCTTTGTAACTTAAATACTTAATTGGATGAAGTGTTTTTGGTCGTAATTTTATTCAACAAAAATATTTTTAAATGTCATTTTGATTCTTGAATTTGTCTTTAGCGTAGTAAAGAGTGCGCTAACTTACATTGAAGCTCATAAAGTAGGGGTGGACTCGGGCTGGGTTAGGCTTAGACGGTTCCATTTTTCTGCAACACTTTGGCCTGGTAGTCTGGTACCGGCTCGGGTAAGCTCCGGGATCGAGCCGGGTCCAAACAGTACCAGGACGGGCTCAGGTCGGTACCACCCATTTACTTTTTTTTTTTTTAAAAAAATAGTGCAGTTATTGAGCCCGAAGACTAGGCATGGACTGGGCCCAGGCCGGGCTGGGGATTTGGGTTGAAGGCCCGGTACCGGCCCTGGTTTGAACCGGGATTGGGCCGGGTCAATTTTTTTTTCTAAAAAAACTAGTCTTTTCTAGTTTATTCTTACATCCTCCTCACCCCCACCCCCAAACCCCGCCAAAACACCTAGCCCAACCCATCTAGCAGCGGCCCAATGCCAAAAAACTAAAAAAATATATATTTTTGGTCTGGACCGGCTGGTCTGATCCACTGAAATAACGTCCCAAAGCCCGTCCCGTTTGACCCTTGTTTCGGGCCCCAAAGCCCGGTCCCTGTCGGCTGGTACCGCACAATAGTGGTCTGGGCCGGTCTGAACTGACCCAACTCATCCCTAGCCTGGGCCCCGGGTCAGGCTGGGTCAGCCCCTGGGCTCAGTCCATCCCTGTCATAAAGTACTACAACTTGTTTTAAAAGGAATAAAAACTAAAAAGTATATCGATTCTATTGGAGTTAAGAGAGCGACTTATTTTTGAGGAGTCATTATAGAACTTTCTTCAATTGTACATTTGTACATTAAATATTTTGAATTTAAGTTAGAAATAATGACACAAATCTTGCGAACTTTGGTGTATATTCTATGTCTACACCGAAAATGAAATTGATGTACTAAAATCACATTTTATAATAAAATGAAAATAATTTAATATTATCATAGTTTCTATACATACAACATCGTCAATACCTGATTGGCTGATACTTAGCATGGGAATGGGAATCCATCAACTTATTTAACTAGTAATTTTATTAAATATTTCGTAGTTCTTAACTTTACGTATTTGAACATATGTTCAATTGAAATATTACAAATCATGAACCCTTCTCAAATAAAAAGTTACATAATCATCAAATTTTCAAAATTCTCCATCAATACATCATGGATTCATGGATGTAACGTAATTCAATAATTTCATTGGAAACATATTTTAAAAAGATAAATTGAAGTACTCCGCCAAATAATGTGAATTCGTGTATTTTTTATTCAACGAGACAAATTCAAATATCAAATTGGCACTTGTCAAATTAGAAAGATAAAGAACATGTCTCTCTTCATCATCACCCCAGTTAGGCTTGTCAATGGGTCGGGTACGGGTCGGAACGTAGTGTTTCAGATCCGGACCCGCTAAGTTAGTAATGGATCCGGACTTGATCCGTTTACCCGACGCGTCTAAAAATGTGGACCCAGATCCAGATCCAATGGGTCTCGAAATCGGGTCGGGTAGACCCCGCCCGCCAAGTATGATACACACACCATTATAAACTTTGTGAAAATAACAAGACATGTATGTGAAATATAAACAAAGTGTACAAATTTTAAAGCAAAATATATATTCATTTTTCAAAAAAAATCAAGGTCTCATAGAAAATTAGTAGTTTTATCTAATAAAATATCAGTTCTTGTACAGGCATATAGTTCCACACTTTGTGTTGCTTTCTCTCGCACAAAGAATAAAGTAGAAGTTAAGTCATAAAAGGTATCTTAGACTGCTAAGAGTATAAAATCATATATAGTATTATCTATGATAATGATATAATAATATTAATAATAATAGTAATAAATATTGTGCTTTTCCTACCGAGCCCAATACACACTTTATTAGTATGTATTTACGACCAAAATAGACATTAGTTTTAGGGTATCTTACTATCTCGATCAGTATCACTTAATGTCTATATTTTTATTGAAGAATCATAACTAATAAATTTATGTACTATGATGTATATAGGTATATTAGTTTCTATTTTATTCAGTGTTATAACTAATCACTTTATGTATTAATGTCTCTGTATACAAATAAGAAATTTTAAACGGGTCCGGGTCCTTAACGGATCTGAATCATATGTACCATACCCGACCCGTTTATTTAAAATACTAATGGGCCCGGATTCGGGTAAACGGAATAAAATATAGACTCGTACCCTTAAAAAACAACCGGGTCCGGGCCGGGTCCAGGTCTAAGAGATGGCGAACCAGGAAAAACCCTTAAAAAGCCCATGTTTTACTCTTAGATGAAAGAGATGGCGAACCAGGAAATGGATTTTCATTTCAAATAAATAAATCCGAAGAAAGATTTTTTTTACTGTACTCAATGGCGGCGGTGTCGTCAACAGCGTACCGTGGAAATCCGGAGCTCACCTTCAAGCCTCGACTTCGCCGCTTGTTTCCGTCTAATGTCAATGCCACCAGCCACAGATCTGTAGCTATGGCGTCCATAAAGAAGGTACCACATAACAAAATCGTACAGTAGTTGCTATTTGCTAAGCTCTGTATATTTCTATAATCATAAACCATAATTACTTTTGAATTCATTCAGAAAGTGGTAGACTTCTGTCATTTCTTTAGCCCTGCAAAAACTATAATCATAAACGAAGTTTAGAGCCCTTCTGTTAGCAATGAAGTTGGATTCAATTATGCAAAAATTATACTTAAAAGTTAAAACTAAAGATAAAAATATATGAAAAATAGTTATGATGTTCTCAATTCAGCCTAAAAGTAATTCTAACTTTTGGAAAAATTGGGCGATAAAACGGATAAACTGAAAATAAAGTTTACAAAACCAGCTCTAAGAGTAAAACATGGGCACATCGTAAAACACACTAGTACACTATTATAATATACGATAGTATTATTATTACTACTGCTTCTAAAACCAGACTTAAATTTTCAGCAGTAAGAATAGCCTCTACCCTTTTGAAATGCCCTCAAAACAACTCCTATAGTCCTATCAGTATCAATACAATGAGGTAAGCAAAGGTAAATTTAGTTATTGAATATGCAGTCACTAAGTTTTGTGTAAATTTGGCATATCCAAAACTTAAACATAATGGGAAGGGAGAAACTAAGCTTGCCATTCTGTTCATATAAATGTGTACTGATAATTTCACATCGATAGTGCATATAAACTCTTATTGGCGATTAGTTTCTCTGTTGCATTGCATTTTATCTCTATTACTCTAATATTCAATTCATTCGAAGTAAAGTTTGTATCTACTTTAAGATTCAATATTTATTATATTCTAAACGTGTTCAAACTTGAAGGCTAAGATGAGCTTCAATAAGAATGAGAATGGAAACCTCTTGTAGTATAGAAGATAAAAACCGTGATGGTAGCTGTCACATTTTTACTTGATTTGGAAGTAGCTTTAAAGGTATGCCCATGGCTCCTATGCCTTCAAAGGTTATAACTTATAAGTAATTAACAGACACACCTGACATCGGGGTATTGGACTGAATGACTGATAGGGTTTTTTGAGCCAAAACTATAGGTACAGCCGGGGGGCGGGAGAAGCACACGTCCCCTCAAAACAATCACGTGTATCAATACAAGTTATACAATCACAAATACTTATAAATTATTAAAAAACAATTAAATGTGAAATTTTTAAATTTTTTGCCCCTCCAATGCCTAACTTCTGGCTCTGTCACTGGACAAAACATTGACTTATTGGCTATTGCTAAAATTTTACTCTTAGGTTGGTCATTGTTACTAAAATGAAATGTCTCCTTGTTTTTCCCCATTAAAAAAATTAATGTATATAAAAAAATCCACTTTTAATTCATATGGAGTATTATGTAGTTAATTCATCCTTTTCAGCTACCACCGAACTGTCTTTTAAATTGCTGGTAATCTTAAACAGAGTACTCATAATTGTATGTGAGGGAGACTATATATAATACTTGTATATAGGATGCTTTTACTTGGATTGTTTTGAGTCCCAGATTAGATCAGACTATACCAGACTTTGACAATTATAAAATACACAGAGATCAGACATTTACCGGAGCAGACTAGACAAAAAAATTCCAGTCCAAGTAAAAACGGTCATAGGAGCCACTAGCCATTGACCAAGATTCGTAATGTGAAAAATTCAGGTGAACAAGTATGATCCGGGTTGGGAAAAAAAATGGTTCGGTGCTGGGATATTCTATGAGGCAACTGAAGATGTGGAGCTCGACGTCTTCAAAAAGTTGGAGAAGCGTAAGTTCTTGAGCAACGTGGAGAAGGCAGGATTGCTCTCAAAGGCAGAGGGTCTTGGTTTCACTCTCTCCTCTATAGAGCAGCTAGGCTTGTTCTCCAAGGCCGAAGAGCTCGGCCTGCTAAGCCTGCTCGAGAAGGTGGCTAGCTTGTCACCATCTGCATTGGCCTCAGCGGCGCTGCCTGTTCTTGCGAGCGCCATTCTGTCCATAGTGTTGATTCCAGATGACTCCGCTGAGCTTGTGGTTGTACAGGCGGTTTTGGCCGGAGCGCTTGGGTTAGGAGCTGTCGGGTTGTATGTTGGGTCTGTGGTTTTGGAAGGGTTGCAAGAAACTGAATGAAAAGGCTCTCATAGCATAGGAGGGCCAGTGCCATAAAATATAGCTGGTCTTTTGTTCTATCCTATGGCACTTTTTATTTGTATGGATTTTGCCATTTTTTATCTTTAAGTGGTTGTGATGTATAGTATAATATCACTTAATATTTAAAAAAATATATGGTAAGAAAAGAACTTGTGAAAAGACAATACTGAACAGTGAACACCATCGATATAAAGTTGTCTATTTTGCTCAAACACTCAACGGTGTCCAACTTTGAAGGTTACTTGAGTTGGATGTTTGGCCCCAAAGATGCACATATTTAGAGCTGTCTGGTCACATATTTGGCTGAATTGAATGATTCTATTGAAATTGATTAAGTTCTAACTAAAGCGACTTAATTGGATGATGATAAAGCAACTTAATTGGTTGAAGCGGCTAAACCCTAGTTTTACCTCGGTGAATCTATTGAATTATATAAAGAAAATAGGAAAAATTGAAAATAATAGGGTTAATTATCAAAATAGGACTAAAAGTCACTCACTTTGCACAAATAGGACCAAAAAATAAACTATTTTTTCATAGAACTAATTATGTGTGCCTTGGAAAAATATACTTTTATAGCTATTGAAATGTTTTAATTCATAATAAAATAATAAAAAATAATAAAAAATTCATAAAAAATACTAAAAAATATTTCGATAATAATAATTTATTTATTTATTTTCAAAAACTAAAAAAATAAAAAAATAAATAAAAATAAAAAACTCAAAAAATAATACTATACTCCATATCTCATTAATTGCAACATTGCAATATATACATTGTTCATGTACTTTACTTTGACTACATTTTATTTATTAATGTATGTGAATTATTTTTTTGAAAAATGTTGTTAAATTCGTCTCATTATTAAGTTTTATAATCTGATTTTTATTTTATTTTTACTAATACAGAATTAAATACAATGACGGTCAAAGTTGTGCGTGTGCAAACGTGAAATGTTGACTGTTGCAATTAAAAAGAGACGGAGGAAGTAATTTTTTTTAAAAAAATAAAAATAAGAAACTCAGAAAAAATGGCAGTTTTTAGAGAAAATGACATTTTTTCACCGTCCGGAGATGGTGGTGAAGAGAGATAGTACAGGCGGTGGGAAAGGCATCCATATTTTTTTTTATTTTTTTATGGAGTTTTACTTTTTTATTAATTTTTTAATTTTTTATTTTATAAATATTTTATAATTTTTTAATTATTTTTATACAAATTTTTGATTTTTTTTTCAAATTTATTATGAATTAAACATTTAATTAACTCATATTTAAAAGAAGGGTAAGAATGAAATGAAAAAAATAGGTATGTTTCCAATAGAACTAATTTGGTCCTATTTTGAAAAGAAAAACATAGTAAGTCCTATTTTAAGTTTTTGCCATAATTTTAATCCTATTTGGAGTAATTTCTAAAAATAATAATCTCAACTATTACTGGTCTGCTATTAATAATCTCAACTATCTATTATTCCTGGGTGGTCCCAATTATAGAGACCATTTTCTAAAAATAGTCCCTAAGATGCTATAACCTCGTATATCATTTCAAATTTAAATGCGAACTATGCATAGGCTATAAATAATCCCAATTATAGTTGATCTTCTTTTATTAATCCCAATTATCAACTTTCAATTTTAGAAAAATATAAAAATATTTTTATAAATTTTCAAATTCAATATTTTTAAACATGTAAAAATTATTATGAAAATTCTACACATATACCGAAGTTAAATAAAATAGTTTTAGTCATAACTATTTTTACAAATAGTTTTAAAAACTAGTTTATTTACTAAGAAATAAAAATAATGCACTAGAAACTAACGTCATTTACCACAACTATCATGAGAGTATTTACCTTACTGTCAGCAACAAGGTCACTACCAAAGCTGCTTACATAGTACTCCGTATTTTTTTGATTTTTTTCATGATGACAAAAGTACATGTCATGAATCATTAATGTAAAGATGCAACTTGAACCGGCAATTTTTTAAAACGTCATCATAATAAAAAAAATTATAGTCTGATCAAAATTCTGAAGCAGGCGCTAATAACCCTGCAAATAACGGAGTTATAATCAGCACATTAATGTCATGTAAGCTAATGAAGAAATCAATCAGCAGAAATTGATTGCCACAACATTTCATATATTTCATCCAAAATGCAACATTTCATACTCCGTATATTATTAGTGAGTGCTTATTGCAGGTACTTAATTGTGGTCTGGACATCAGCTCATGCCTGAAAAAAGAAACTTTAGTGTAGGAAGCTTAATTGCCACTCACCCACCCTCCATAAGACCATAACTATCATGCATGAATGAGAATGCTAGATATGAAAAAATGTCCACAATCACCGGGCAATGCCCAATGATCCTTGACCGTTAAAAAGACATTTTTCATTCAGTTCATGAGTAATGTGACTAAGTAGCTCCAAGAATCTGCAGTATATATGCATACATCATTATACAACTTCCAAGGAGTCCGGTATGCACATATAACTACTCTAACACAATCACTTAAGTATGGTATTGCTTTTGATGAATGATGACCATGGTCCACACTTATAATCACGAGAATAACAATCGGTGACAGCTGCGGAGTATAACACGATTTCTTGGGGAAAAATAGCAATTTGAGGAATATAACAATACAAGAAGCCTATACGTATCACACCTTGAGGTTGCATAAAACACTAAATCATCAACCAAACAAAAGAAAAGATTCCAGATCTCATTACACTAACTGGTGTCACCTATGCTACTACTGAGAAGAACTAATATATAATCCAACACCGTAAAGTTACAGATTTACAGTGTTACCTGTCCAGCTACAGAAGTGCTGGCACTGGAACTACTTGAAGCTGTCTTATGAATACAACAGTCCAAAGGGTGACTGATCTTCAGTTCTCCAGTGTGCGGATTTCTTGGCATCAAGTTGTTATTTCTTTGAATAAAAAAGTACAGAAAATATTCTATACAAGAGCAAGAAAGTTCTCCCGGCTGTATATGGTCAGAAGAGTAAATTGTAAACATGTTTCTGGCATAACGCCGATATGGTTAGAGTTTCTTTGGCAAGTTGTAGTTCTTCTTGACAAACTTTGTTGCAACCTTGTCATTGCGATGACACAAAACACGCAAAATAGTGTTTGGCTCAGTTGGACTCCATTGACCTGACGTAGGAGGCAACAACATGGATTTGGCTGAGGAACCGTAATTCTCTTCCATCACAAGATGAAACTGCACGATGAGAGTCTCTGTGTCAGTATGAAGAAGATGAAGAACTCCTTTTAAGTTCAGCGAATATTTGTCTATGAGATCAGCTGGAAGTCCATCCCCATCAGACCAGAATAAATCCGCTAGAAGCTTAAAATCCTCATCTATTATTGAAGCATCTTGAATAGAAAAGGCACGAGGAGGATCGCCAGCAAGCAAAATCAACACAAAACCCTCAAAAGATGCTTTCATTACATCAGTGATCACACGGGTCCGCACCCTGTCATGAACAGTTGATGATATGACCTCTAAGATTTGTTCCAGCTCCTGAAGGAAAGGTTCTATACGAGAGGATGAAATGTGGCCCACAAAAAGGTAATCCCAAAACACATGACTCAGATCATGAAAGACAGCTTTGTATGCAGTTGCTTCTGAAAGCTGCCTGATTGCTTGCAAACAAGCAGATGCTGAAAGCTCAAAGCCTTTCCCCAACCTGTTGACCATATTATCATCATCAGCAACACATCCACTATCTCTCAGCTGCAAAATAGTCCTCTTTTCTAGTACATCCAGTTGCTTGCGCATGGCATACAAAGTATTGATGCGAACACATAGCTGTGGCAAACCAAAGGAATCAATACTATCTGCAGCCCCAAAGTGAGTGTTCTTCTGCAGAACTGTATTTGGCCGTTCTTTCTTCTTGAATACACCAAATTTTGTTCCAGCGGCACATCTGGTCAAAGCAGGTAGAGTTGGGACAAATGTACTTGGAGATCCTATAATTAGATCAGGGAACAAGGTCTCAGTGCAACAAATAAAGCGCTGAATCTATCTGTTGCAGAGCTAATATGTCTAAATACACTTACCACAGCCAGACTCAACATTCAATATGTATCTCTGAAGGCATTTATCAAGACCACTCAGTAGCTCGGGAAGCAAGGCAGGATGCATAGGAATTGGCAGCAAGAAGAACGCTTCTAAAGTCTCATCTATAACACGCAAAGCCTCCACACCAGAAGGAGCAAGCCGCTCCTTGTTTGCCAGAGGATTCCAGATCTAGGAAAACATCATAGAGGTTAAGTCAGCCCATTCCAAAAGTACAAAAACAGTTCATGTTTTTGTTACTCAGAAATCCCAATTCTGTTATTGTCATTTGAAAAGCCATAGAAAAAAGAGCAACGTTTCTGGTTCTAATGTCTATCTACTTCAACCCAATAGTGAAATCAAGGCACGAAGGGGGCAGTAGACGTACCTCTTGTTGCAGATTCCTATCAATCCATTCTGTTAGTCTGTCCACCCTTGTTCTTATCCATGACTTTACCAGCTCTGAAATTACAGCCTCTGCCTCAAATGGAATCATTTCTTGAATCAGTGCCTTTCCTCCATCATCACTGTCTTCTGCATCTGCAACTGCCATTTTTACAAGATTCTTTTCCAGCTTGTCAGCAGCAATGAGCACCTGTACAGCATCTGGCGTCAACTCATTGACGCTGGAAACAAATTTCTTTAGTTCATTCCCATAGCATGCATGAAGAGTAGCCACAGCTACACCAGTCGCAAGGGGGTGCCATCTCTTCAGTACTGGACTGTATATTTCTTTTTCATTGAAAGCTAGATCACTGGTATTCTGTGCAAGGATGGAAAGGATTGGAAGAGAATTCCGCTGAATCTTAGAAGACTTCTTGGATGAGATCAATTTCTTATTTTCCTGTCTTTAGACAGAAGGACAATCTTGAGTGATATAAATACATATATAGAGAGGTTTTATTTCGGTAATAGGCAATATTGAGTGTCTGAATAACAAATATGGATCACCAATATCAATTTGGAAATATTAGACAATATGACATAGCAAGCACTATAATAGTCCATCAGACAGGATTTAGTTCTAGTAAAGGAAATGAAAGCTTTTCGAACAATAAAAAATTTGAAAGTGATGCAAGGCGTGTCTTTTAGAATTTCTTTTTCCAAATGCCGAGAGTTCTTTTGAATCGCCA